GGGCTGCCTCGGTGAAGGAAAGTGGTCCCTTGCACACCAGCAGGATGGCGCGGACCCTGAGACCCGACGACATCAACCCCCGAACGGGGCTGGTGGTGGCTCTGGTCAGCGTCTTCCTGGTGTTCGGCTTCATGTTCACCGTGTCCGGCATCAAGGGAGAGACCCTGGGGGACATCCCGCTGCTGGCCATCGGGCCGGCCATCTGCCTGCCGGGCATCGCCGCCATCGCCCTCACCAGAAAGACTGACGGCTGCACCAAATGGCCCAAGAACAAGTGTCCGTGCTGCAAGCAAGTCAAGGACCGGGATGTCATGGAGCTGCTGAGGACCCCCTCGGACCTGGAGTCTGGCAAGGGGAGTTGCGACGAGCTGGCCAAGAAGGCATACCAGAAGGATGGGAGAGTGCTGCGGGGCGAGGACTCTGTGTCCATCTGCACCACCACCACCACCACCACCATGGGAGAGTGCAAGAGCCTCATCAGAAAGGTGGAGCAGGAGGAGATGCTGAGATACCTGGAGACCTGTTACCCAGAGATGCCAGGGAATGTGTTTGTGGGAGACGGCTCCATGTACAGTGCCTTGGAGAAGGAGAGCTCTTCTCCCACCAGGGACAGCACTTCTTGCCCTGACATTGAAGACAACATTTTTGTTGCTCCTAAAGACAGCATCATTGTCTGCTCTTACAAGGAGAACAGCCCTTATGACAGATACTGTTGTTACATAAACCCTACGGGAGTCAACTCAGACCAGGAGACCATAGTGTGAAAGATGCATACTCCATATATATGTGTGTATACAAAACATACAACTTCAACTTCTTGATAGGGGATAATATATCTGACTGCACTGCATGGGACAATCCTGATACTATTACAATTTAACCTGGTATGTGACTGAAACTCAAACCTTTTGTGCCTGAAATACTCTTTCTGTAAGTAAACAAGCATGTTTAAAGGTTAAAGAATTCAAGTCTTCATTTTGGAAAAAAGAAATTGCATTTTAATTTTATTTTCTCCCTTTCCCTCCCTTTTGTTTTCCTGCTGCCTATTGTACCCAAGCCTGTAGATGCACGGGCAGGAGAGCAGTGATAGCTGTCGGCGGAGATCAAGAGCCAAATCAAAACTGGAGCTGACTGTAGGAAAGAATGCGGTCTTCTATGACTGAATGGGTCCTAGCAATAGTGAAATTTCCTTTTGGGAGGGATTGAGAGATGTCAGTGTGCGCTCCAACAGCTGGCTGATGTTAGGGAGTGTAGAAATGATTTGTCTCTCTTCCTGGCAGGATTTTATTTTCCTCTGCTTCAAAGAATTGATGTGCTGACTCTGTGGTCTGAAAAAGACCCTGGGACTTCTGAAAGTCTCATAGGAACCAGATAGGCTCAGGGGAGTTTTCAAAGGATAATCCATCATCAATAGCATGCAAGGTACAGGTTTTAGCTTCATTTCCCATCGGTGTCGAGTTCACTGGAATGTTTCTAACACTTCTGGATTTTCTAGGCATACTTGAGAAGGAGATTACAACATGATCATGACACAGTTCTTGCAGAGACTAAAAGCAGATATTAGTGGACTCAGGGTCTTAAAAATGTATCCCAGTACCTCTAAAGTCGCTTAGGGAATATACTTCGATGTTGTGTTCAGAGCTGGATCTGACTATTCTGAATATGTCATTTTCATGTGCCTTTTCTAAAATGCCAGATGTTTCTCTACAGGTGATGAATGGTTACAGTTCACTCAGGGGTCTCAAAGCCATGCTTTCCTGGGGGAGGGAACAGAGGACATGGCTGACAGATGTTTTTGTTCACAGCTTATGGATACATAGCAAGATAAATATGAAGTGAGTAACGAGGATTAACCATTCAAAATCTGAGCCTGCAGCTTACATACAGAAACACAAATCCTGGCTATTCTGTCCGACAGTAAATTGCATGTTCCATGCTGTGTATAAAAATCTTACCTGGCCTCTACTATGGAGGTAATAGAGATGCGGTATAATATGGTGTGCATGCTAAGCAGCTACTCTAAGGTTTAAGGTCTTAGGGAAATGGTTACTAAAGCGCAGAGTAATTTGCTAGCATCTCACAAAGTCCAAGTTCCTATAACTAAACTCTCACAAATCCAGAAAGTTTCTCTGTGATGAAAGTCTTAATAACTATTACTTAGCTGTTTTTTTCAAACAGAAGTTGTACCAGACAAGCGTAGGATTAGAATGCCAGGGTAGGAAAGAAGAAAAGCAGCCTTTCTTTCGTAGCAACCTGAGATGTGTAGAAAGTGGCAAGGAATTTTCCACTCAAATGAGCCATTCTTTGCTGCCCATGGAATTGTTTGGAAAGTGAATGGGAATTTTATGCGTCCACTTTGTTTGGAAACTTATCTCAAATTGTTACAGAAAACTAGTCTCTGAAGAGGTTTCTAGAAGGAGGAAATACATTTTTTTTACATAAGATACTTTGGTTTCTTTCAGACCAAACAAAATGTTAATGCTTTGGCCAGGCTTTGGTGGGGCATCAGGATGCTCTTAGGATAAATTAAAAAAACACTAAGCTAGTCTGAGTCAGATAAAGCCTCTCAGTAGGTGGTTACAGGCAGCTTTGCTGCTCTGGCATGCAGCAACAGTACTGTGGGAATAAGTAAACACTTATACTCTGTACAGCCTAAGTTTTATCCACTGAGCAAAGGAATTCCACAAAACCAGACCATCTCCCTGACATATTCAACTCCCACTTCCACATAAAAGCACTCTGCTGTTGTCAGGCAGATTGTCTCCTGCAGGCTTAGTCACTGCAGGACCTTATTCTGCAACATACAGAGCAGCTTTTTGGGGGCACTGGGAAGTCTTATTTCATGACCTCTGAAGCCAACAGCTAAAATACTGCTGATGAACATGATGAGGAATAGATATTTCATCGATTTCTGTTCCCAAGGGAAGCAGGTGAGGGTCTTGGCATGTGCCCATGGGTGCTTAGCATCCCTGAAGATCAGACCCACCGTGAGAAAACAGGCTACCAGGTAGCTGCATATTGCCTTTGCCGGGGTTGCGATCAATCACTTGCCTTGCGTAAGAGAGCAAAGCGTCAGCCCGCTGGGAACCTAGATTTGTACAGTTCTGCAAATATATATAGGAAGAGGTCAAGTTTTTCCATTTTGTCTAGGATTAGATGTTCTCTGCCAAAAGTTATATGGAGTTCTACAAGGCAAGACAGCAAACTCTATTGGTAAATATATATCTTGAGATACAGCCATGCAGATCTGAGTCATGTGCTTTATTCCATTCTTAGTGTAAAAACAAAAGAATGTTTTTATTAAAGCAAAGCTTAATGGGAGTAAAAATTTCCCACAATATAGAAAGAGATACAAAAAATGTATGTTTAACATGTGATATTTACAGGCAACGTCCTTCCTCTGTTCATTTAGCTGAGGTAAGATTTCGTAACAACGTACAAGTTTAAGCAATATTTCTAGGCTAATCCACGATAATCTTCTGAAGTTTTTTATTGAACATGTGGGAATGTGAACTTAAAGAAATATATTAGTACTGCCTCTGAAATACCTTTCTCTATGATTTTTCCTTTCTTTTCTGATAGTTAAGCAGAGAATGAAATGGAAATGAATTAATTTAGCCATTTTAAAAATAAGTATTTTTCCATTTAAAAACGAAATAATTTTTACTTTTTTTTTTTTTTTTTTTAAATAAAGAGATTTTTTTCATACACTATAGTTTTGTCAGTATAAATCTTCTGCTTATTGGTTCACAGACAGCATGACAGCAGCTTCAAGCTTTTTATGTAGACACCAAGCCCAGGCCAGAGAATTACTGGGGCTTTATTTTCATTCAGCTCACGTGGTCTCTTCTGATAGCCACTAGAACTTGTAGGACCAGTGCTGATCTTGGAATAAGCAGGAATAATCACGTTGCTTTTCAGAGGTAGCTTGTAGTCCTGCATCTGAATTTGGCTTCAGGATACCATGCGGTTGCAGCGCAGCTCTGTGAGTTTGATGCCTAGTCCCACTGAAGTCAATTGCCACATACCGGTTGGTCCTACACTATGGGTGGCAGGGCATATATTAGTGTTTGATGAAAACCAGTGATTTGGACAGTCAGAGGAGATTTCTAAGATATATAAAATTTACTTTTAGAATAGTATTTGTCATAGTGCTGCAGTGGAGTGTACCTTCTTTTAAGAAACAATGTGATACACAGATCAACTGTGCACAGGGCAATTTTGTGGTGTTTTGCATATATTTCTATTGTCATAAATAGCATTTTTACAGTCGTACAAGCTGATCATTGCAAAGCCTCTGACGGACAATTGGGAGTTTGTGTGCAATTTGCTCTCCTGGAGTACTGAACAATAGCTGGTCTTTTCTGCCTGGAACCCAAAGGTGGGAGATGAGTGTGCTCAGGGTGTGTGTCCCCTGGGACTGGTACTGCACTCTTGATCTGCGTTCTGCAGAAATGTGGTGCTCTTCCACGGGCAGTTCGTCCCCATGCGATTGAACCTCTCCACAGTCCTGGCTCAGGTAACTATTGTTACGTTGTAATTAGCAGAGTAACAGCCACTATGACCTCCTCTCAGTATTTCTTCTGGTACATACCAGACTATTGCAGAGTGAGCTCCTGCTCTTGACAGGGGTGGTAGGATCATCCATCCTATGTAAGCTGCTATGTTGAGACATTCAGCTAAGTTGTCAGTTCTTGCAGTGTAGGTCTGGGATTTGCATCTCTGTGTAGTACCTTTCACACTAAAGGTGCTGTAGAGATGGGTTAGAGACGGCTGACTGTGAGGCCGCAAAGGCACTTCCAGCCTGACTTTCATGAGCATTTAAGAACTGATCTATTTATATGCAGAGCACAATCTGCACTCAGAAACTTGAATCTCAACACGTTGCCAGTAAAGCCATCTTGCTAGAGAATGCAGTTCTGACATGGGAGATTTTCTGAGTCTTTAAAGGTTTCTGTCTAAGTTTCTAATATCAGTCATATTAAAACTAGTAGAGAGTTTCTAATACGTAGACTAGAGGAGTTTTCTTGACACATTCTTAACACAATATGGGGCTTCAGCTGCAAAGCAGCTCATGCTGAGCCCAGTTCTACTCTGCAGCTGGTCTGAACATGCAATCCCTACTGGAATGCTTGTCAGCAGGTTTGTTACCTTTCTGCCACTATGAGCCCTTTTATGTCTGGTCTTTAGAAACAACACAGGTAGCGGATCTAGAATTCACTTTTAATGTTCTCTGGCAAACTTTCATCAGTAATCATTACCTTTAATTTATCGTTATTTTATTTATTTAAGTCATCTCAGTGGAAGAATGCCAGACTCTGTATGTCTTTACCAGGCAAGGAGATCCAGCTATCGTTGGTTCTTAAATCGCGGCTTATTTTCTGTTTAGGACAGTTGCATGGATTAGCCCTGACTTGTGCCTAATGTCAGATGCACACAGAAGTGTTTATGCTTTAATGTTTTTACTTACAAACACTGCACCATGCATAGGTGTATACAAATTTGTTCGCAAGAGCAGGTCGCAGAATGCAAAAGCATAACAATATATTAATGTGAGATCTGCTCAGAGGAACCCTCTGTCTTTCCAACACCTCACCTAAATTTTCTGCCTCAAGCCTGTTGTTTCAATTTAAACTCCCTTTGGTCCTTTAGGAGAACTTTTCTAAGAAGTAGCTCTTTAAGGACACACAGTTCTTCCAACAGGATACACAGAGTTTAAATGTCCTAGGACTCTGTTTCTTTATAACCCCGGTAAAATCCTGGC